ATAATCATCACAATGAATATACATGAAACATAACACATTTATCACCAACATTACATAATACAACCAACATTGTTTACATCAAGTACATTGTTAAGTTACATAAGTTCGAATTGTTAAAAATACGACAAGTCGTATTACATAAACAAAACCAGACTTGCATTTCTTTCATCTTAATGATTACCAGATAATACAAGATATTTTGAAAATATCAACATATATAATGTTGGTGAGTTCATATGTATGGTTGAATGAAAGTCTTTGTATCTTTCGTAAAAACCCTGAAAATTTGATATTTTCTGTATAATGTCTGAAAATGATGTGAAAATCAAGTATAAATGCATGTGTAAATTTTATAGTTGTAGCTTATACGAGTATTGTTTAAATTCATTGTATCGTGAATAAATGGTAAATGTATAAAAATATTTTTCCCAGAAAATCTGATATTTTCTGTCTTAATGTCTAGGTTCTTGTATCGTTGATTTAATGTTTTCGTGTTGACACAATTAAAGAATTAATATTCTATGTGTTTAAGTGGTGTTGAATCCCTACATGTGTCGTTATAACCATGCATGATAATGACTAGATCGCCCGTCTTGGTATTTTTCCAAATGTCGGTGTTGCTAGGGATGTTGTCGCCCTAGACTGGCCTAGTCTAGCTGTAGCGAGCAACTAAGGTGTGGGGGGTCACCCCGTATAGATCTATACACAAATTCTCGTTTTCCATCCAGGAAACTTTAATTATAACTACAGGCTACGATTGTACACTCAGAGGTGTCAACCGACAAGTCTCACTAGATTCTCAACCTTTCCCATTTGATAAGATTTTCCCCATGTTTAATGTTTTACGCGTAAGTTATAATTTTTTCCATTCCAAAGCTAAGTATACAAATTCATAAACTATGTAGAGGTATATTTAAGATCTACAAAGTATGTGAATTTTCATTCTAAGCCCAATTAACATGTAAATGGGCCACAAAGGTCCAATAACATAATAAAAGGGTAAGTTAGGCCCAATAGGCATGAAAATGGGACACAAAGGCCCAATAAGCACGTAACCCATAATTTAGGCCCAAATTAACATGTAAGTGGGTTGTAACGCTCACTAAACATATCATGGAAAACATTGGACTCAATATACACTTAATTGGGCCCTTAGGGCCCAATGACCAAGATCGTGAATATTAGGTCCAATAAATAGTTATTGACGTGTTTCGTTCGTTTGTTTCACCCCGTTGGTTGTTTTTAACTCTAGGTTTACTAGATTGATAATAAAAATATCATTTCTTTGTAAAAACGATATTTTTGTCCAATAACCTTTCAATGCTTAATTAAGGCCCTAAGTTTGTAAAAAATGACTTTAGTCCATGAATTGTAAAAATTTGCAATTTTGTCTCAAATGACTAAAAATTTACAGTTTTAGCCCAAAAATGTATATTTTCACTTTTAAAACCTTGTTTTACAGAAAAGTGCATTTTAAACCCTTTGTTTGTAAAAATTTACACTTTCGGCCCAATTTTGGAAAAATTTAAATTTTTGGTCCAACTTGAAAATAAATGTTATTTTTACCCTTAAATTTGGTTTATCTTCATTTATGATCCCAAACTTTGGCTAAATATCATTTCTAACCCAAAACTTCATTTTTTTCGCAATTTGAGCCCCAAAAACCGTGAGGCCCAAATGTTGTCCATTAAGCTTAAATTTTCATTTTTGACCCTTTTTAAAGTATGTTTAACATAAAAATACTTATATATACATGTAGGATCTTTTTGTCCCATATGAAAACTTAAATGACACTTTTTACCCTTATCTTTTGTTTTCTTGACAATTTTGACCTTTAACAAGGTTTTTGTTGAAATGTTTTGTATTTTAGACATGTAATCACTTATGGCTTGATAATTTCATGTATATAATGTCATAGTTCATAGATATTTGTTTAATATTACTTAAAATTTCGAGATCTACACAGATCTAACATATTTTTACCAAATAAGTTAAGAAATCACACAAACACATGCATATAACACATAAATCTACATATTTTTCTTGTATTCTCCCCCAAAAATCATATGAAAACCGAAAACAAGGGGGTATGAACTCACCTTTGCTTTGATGTTTTGGTTTTGAAGAAGAAGTGGGAAGAGATGAAGTGATTTTCGGCCCTAACAACTCCCTTGAGTAGATCTTGAACTTAAGAAGATTTCTAGGAGTATGATTACCAAAAACTTTGCTTAAAAGAGTGATCTAACAAGAGAATGGAGTTAAGACTTTGATGTGTAAGGACTTACCAAGAAGTGATGACTATCTTGTGAAAATCCTCTTGAGACACAAGTAAAATTTTGAGAATTTTTGGAGGAAGAGATGAATGACCCTTGAGAGAATTGGAGATAACTTGGTGTAATGTGTGTGTGTTTGTGGCTCTCGGTCAAGGGTAGAAGAGGAGAGGGGAGAAAAAGGTAGTGAGGTGACTTGCATGGGAACATGAAAGATCATACCTTGATACATAGTGAGTATTATGGAGGTGGCACTCCAAGTCAACTCCCCCCCCCCTTTCCATTTCATTTTTCATTTTTTTATGATGGGCCGAGGATTCTTGGGCTAGGAGAAAGGGTGGAGTAGTTTAGGCCTTAACTTGCCTTTACTCAAAATTATGAGGCCCAAAGATTACTTTTTGACCCATTGGGCCCTCATAGATGTCCACAACCCAATAAGTCTAATTAAATAGGTTTAGGGTCCATTAAGGGTAATTAATTCACTAATGGCCCAATAAGGCCCCTTAAGGGTAAACTAATATATTTTGGACCCAAATGGCCCAAATTTTTAAGTTTTATGGAAGTGGGTCCAATTAAAATCAAATCAGGGCTTATAAGTCCAATGAAGTTGAATTGGATGCTTATTGGTCCATTAGGCCCAATAAGGAACTCCTAGTCCAATATTGACTTAAACTGAGATTTTTAGGGTTTTTAGTCTATTTTTTTTTAACATAAGTGATGAATTTAATGATCTTTGAGTGAGATTCACTTAGAGTGGATGTTTTACAATAGCTAAATGGTTACATAAGAATAGAATTTCCTAGCTAAAATGCTAGTTGTGACAAGTGGTTTTAGCCCTAGCCGATTACACTGGGCGTAATGGCTCGATGCAGGATCGCGGAGGCACCCACTTACGTTGGGCGTACGTGGGAGTATGTGGGGTGTATGCTAAGCAGGTACAAATCCTAATTTTTAGGGTTTGTGACATATTTAAACGACTTATGTTGCTTTGGTGGTATATTTTGGTCAGCCTCTGCTCCCATAAACCTTAATAACAAAACCCTAAGTTCCTTTTTGTGATTTTTTGATATTGGAAGTGAGTTTTGAGGTAGTTTATGGTGATTTGAAGGAAGAAGAACACTTAGAGGTTGCTTTATAATGGCTTGAGCTTGTATATCCATAATCATTATCATATTTGCAAGCTTGTTCTCTACTTGATTTCATATGCTAGGTCTAGTTTAGGGCCTTGTTTACATATTTTTGGGTCCTTTAAGCTTTATTTGGGAGTATGGGCTACTCCAGTAGCTTGGGATGATAAATTTAGGCTTTTCTAAGGTCCCTTATTCATAAAAATGATAACTTGATGGGTTTTATGAAACCATGCAAGGTTGATGTTTCTTTTAATGGAGTTAATATGCTAAAATTAAACCGTGGGGTGTTTTTAGCTATAAAAAGGCTTAAAGTCTTCGACTTTATGGTTTAGGACCTTGATATGATGTTATTTTGTGGATTGGATGATAAGTTCTGAAGTGATTAAGTCTTTTGACCAAGGGTTGAGATCAGGCCAGTACACGGGGCGTACTCATAGGTACGCTGAGCGTACTGGGGTGGGAGCTTGTTTCCGGATCAACACATATGCAGGGTGTACGAGCTTGGTACGCCAAGCGTATGCTTGTCTGTGGGACGAATGAATTGTAGGTTTGGGTTTATGGGCTATGTGTTGTTTGGTCTTGGCCCCCCTTAACTCCTATGGATAATTTCTAGACTTTATGATATTGTTGGATATTGGGCCTTCTTCGATTGGGCTATATTGGACTTTGGGTTTCATTTAGGCGTTTGGGCTTTTGGAACAATTTGGTTAGGCCTTAGTTTGGGCCAAGTATGAAAAAGGGTAAAATGGTCTTTTATATTGGATGTTGGACAAGTGATCTAGATTATTGATTTTGGATTAAGACCCGATTATTAAGTGAATATTATTTGATGATGTTAGCATAGGGATTTTCCGGATCAACAGATCGAGATTTTATCTGAGAGATTCATCAGATTGAGGTGAGTTTACTCACTATGTTTAGCGGGTCGAAGGCACCAATGTCAACCCATGGTTTGTTATGTTTGGGATGCTAGTTGTATGCGTCACTCTTGCATGTGATATGTGTTTATATGTTTATCGGATGGGGCTCGATGACTATCTTGTATGCTATTTATCTTTATGATTATTGCATGTGTTGTATGATTATATGTTTATATATATTTTGGGCGGGGCCCGATGCCAAGCGGTGCCTGATGACTGATAGATTTGTTTACCGAGTGGGGCCCAATGTTGGGTGGGGCCCATTATATGATTGAATGTATGGTATGTGGTATTTCGGGGAACCCACTAAGCTTTGTGCTTACGGTTTAAGTTTTATGTTTCAGGTACTTCAGATGATCGTGGGAAAGCAAAGGTGTGATCGTGCACATTATTCTAGTTTTTATGATGTGGAATTTGGGATACTCTGATTTGTGATTATTATTTTTGGGAACAATGTTTTGTAAACAATTATGGTTTTTGTTTGGGTTTTAAAAATGAAAATTTTACCTTGATTTTTTAGGATGTTACAATAAGAGACTTGATTTGGAATGATGCTCCTTCTTCATCCATGAAGCCTAAAGCCTACCACCACATTACTTAACCAATAATCTTTTATTGTCATTCTTTTCATAAAACAATTGATAGCCATTTGCTACAACATAATTACAAAGCATGTATTTCTATTGTTTAGGATTGGTAAATCTCATACCTAGAATGTGCAACTGCTTCTTCCAAGGTACATCTTCATTGAACCTTGTTTTAACACTAACAACTAGGACATTATCATCTTCATCATATTTTGGGACATCATCATATGTGGCAGCTTCATTATCATTTTCCTGACTTACTCTTTCATAGGTTACTCCTTCCATATTGTTCTTCAATGGACTCATGAAGTCAGTTAGGTTAATACAATCATCCATTTCCATTGACATGTTTGATACATCTGAATAGTTGTCCTCCTTATAACTACTAATTTTACCAGACAATACTTGTATATTAGTACCAAACTGGTTCATGTATATGGGCAGTTGGTGTCCATAACAATAAGCAATGTAAACTCTTGATATTCAATTTCATTAGAAATCAATCTTAAACTTTGTGGGAATTCTATATTTGGCATACACACTGTTGTAAAAATCCCAACTAGGTCCCGATTAGTCTCCGATTAATCCCTAAACGCTACCCGACCGATTAGAGGGCGCCTAGCGATTAATCCATGCCTAAAAAATGAGTGAAGTATTAGAAAATGATGAAATTTTAACACTTTGAAGAAGTCATATCTCATTAGAAACCATTTGAAGATTGATTAGTGTTTTACTAATCACATTAACCTATTTTATTATAATATTAGTGATATTTATGAACTTTTGTTATGATATTATTCATATTTAATTTTAAAAAATTCAACAAATTAGCAATTAATGGTCTCCGATTAATCCCCGCCTAGCCGATTAATCCCTTAACTCCGGTTCACCGACTAGCTAACGTCGAACGTTTTTTACAACATTGGGCATACAATATTAAACCTTCTCACACATCTCTTGTGTAAATCATTAAGAAAAACAACAAATTCTTTTTACATTCATACAAGCAAAATCGATATTCTCGGAGAGGAGTAGCAAAATGGTTTGTTAATGAACACACATTGGAAATGAATATCGATCTTGACGAATGTTGCCATGGAAAAGGTCCTTGAATGGGAACAAATTTAATTATTTTTATTCTTTTATTATTATTTTTTTGGTTAAGTTGAAAGAAAGAAACAAACGAGTGTGTAATTTAAATCCCTTTGAAAATAATGGAGAGTACACATGGCCATTTCATTCAATGACACAACTCTGCAATTTGATTACATAACATTCATTTTAGCATGTGACCTACATATTAACGGGTTACTCGATCATTTCTTCAATTATGATGTTCTAAACCATTGAAAATATACTTTATTCCCTTAAAGTACAAAAAATAAGAATAACTAAGTGACATTTTAAAACAAACGGGAAACTTGGTTGGATTAAAATTACATTTTCCCTTGGTTTAATTTGATTTCATTGTACATGCAAACTGCATATAGCCAAAACTATCATGAGTCGAGATTATATATTTTCCAATATCTTGCAACAATTATAGTGTAATTACATTTTGCAAAGCAAATGTAACAACCATTAGTAACAACATAGTTTGTTAGACATAATTTGAGTTGTATTGAAGACTCATACATGTCTCTAACATGCGTTTTAATCTTATTACATTACGATATCATCATGAACTATGTGCTGAACACCCACATCAAGTTCATTTTGATGATCATTACCCCTTCATAATGCACATTTGCTTCAACTATAACTTCATAATCCATATTACATGTTGATATCCTTTAGTTGGTATATGCACATTGTAAATAAACCCTTGTACTTAGCAATGGTCGATTCGGACCCCACATATACATTCCATGAAGATCTAACTCCACATCCCATGTAAATCTAACTCCATATTGTTTAAGTCATCACAAACATTGAACTCATAATAAGATGACTCTGTCATGTAATTATTAAGTAAACCAACACCTATAAAAAAATACGATCATTACTTTCGCTAATGATTTACAATAAAGCAAATGTTCAACAGAGAAGCTTACAAGTGCTTTAGCAATGGCAAATTAGAGCTCAATTTGCCATATGATTCAACATCTTCAAACAATTTCTTTCAAACAAATTCAAAAGTGAAAGTTTAATCGGACAAGATAAGCTTTTTTTTTGGAATGATGATATTTCTTTACCCTAGATCATGTCTAACACATTAGTGCAAAAACTTCAAATAAAATCCCAACTTACGATACCTAATTTTTTTTCCAAAAAAATGGAATAACTATAAATTAGACATTATTGTATTTTGCATCTAGAACTTGTACTTTTTGTATCTTATACTAGAAACCGGTTTCACACTTTCACTTCATCGTATGCTAAACCAGAAGAAAAACATCAACTTAAAATAAAATTAAACCCCCAAAAAAACCTTCTTGTGTGCTCTCCAGCTATTCTTTCCAAATCCATCGATCACTTCTGTTCAATGGATCTACCATTTCTGATTCAATCAATTTGAGATCTTGAATCAGGTGGTGGGTTCAATTCAATCAGTCAACTTGAACTGTTGAGGAGTTGAAAGATTCAAGGGTATGAAGATACCTTGTTGCACGGTTTGTCAGACAAGGTACAACGAAGAAGATAGGTGTCCGTTGTTGCTTGAGTGCGGCCATGGATTCTGTAAAGAGTGTTTGTCCCGTATGTTTTCATCAGCACCATCAGACACTACTCTTCCGTGTCCACGATGTCGCCAAGTCTCCGTTGTCGGTAACTCCGTCCACGCGCTACGGAAGAACTACGCTATTTTGGGGTTAATCTCTTCTGCTTCCAATAGCGATTTTACCGACGAGGATGATGACGATGAGGATGATGGGTTGGTGGTGGTGGTGGATAGAGACCGGCGCAGCTGTGGGTCCAACGCTTCCAGTTCTAATGGCTTAATCGAACTTGGTTCACACCAGGATTTGAGGATGGTGAGGCGAATTGGGGACGGGCCAGGGCGGAAGGGGAGCGGAGTTGAAATGTGGTCGGCGGTGTTGTCTGGGAAATCAGGGAGGTGTCGTCACCGTGTGGCGGTGAAGAAACTTGTGGTGATTGGGGAAGATACTGATTTAGTTTGGGTACAGAATGAGCTTGATGATTTGAGGCGAAAGTCGATGTGGTGTAGAAATGTTTGCAAGTTTCATGGGGCAACGAAGGTGGATGAGTGTCTTGCTCTGATCATGGATAAATGCAATGGTTCTGTTGAGACAGAGATGCAAAGAAACGAAGGGAGACTCACTCTTGAGCAAATCCTGAGGTTTGATTCTGTGTAAATTGTATTTAAGCAATTCAAACAGTTTCTCTTTGTGATTTACTTGTTTCTTGTTAGATATGTTTGATTTGATTCACAGCATATTAAGTAAGCTCTATGTTAAAAAAAATCACCTTTCGCCCATAGAATTTCAAAACCTATAACACCCTAGTATTTGGGGACAATAGACATGAGTCACATGACATAAACCATTAGAAGGAAGTTTCCTGTTGCAAAGCATGAATCCTCATTAGGGTTACAACTCCTATAATGTTAAAATTGATGAATAGAATGTAAGGGTAAAGTGGTTATTTAGTCTCATTCAGATAGTTTATTCAGTCCTTATGTATACAACACTTTATCCAGACAAACATTATTACCCATTCAACCACTTTGCCCTAACATATCTAAGATTCCATTTCTAGTATATTCCAAATCTAGTAATTATTATTATTATTATCTAATATATCTTCTTTCCTTTTTCTTTTTAATAGATATGGAGCAGATATTGCTCGTGGGGTGGCTGAACTCCATGCAGCAGGTGTGGTTTGTATGAACCTTAAACCATCAAATCTTCTTTTAGATGAAGAAGGTCGTGCGGTTGTTTCCGATTATGCCCTTCCCGCCATTTTAAAAAAACCAGCTTGCAGGAAAGCCCGTTTAGAGTGTGATTCATCAAGAACTCATTCATGCATGGATTGCACAATGTTAAGCCCAAACTACACAGCTCCAGAAGCATGGGAGCCTGTTAAAAAATCTTTAAATATTTTTTGGGATGATGCCCTTGGTATATCACCAGAGTCAGATGCATGGAGTTTTGGGTGTACATTAGTAGAAATGTGCACCGGTTCTGTTCCGTATGTATAAATTTTAATACATATTTTTTTATATTTCTTGACTTATACATGTTGTATTGTTACTTAAAATGTAAAAAATTGGTATTTCTTTTGTAGGTGGGCTGGATTAAATGCTGAGGAAATATATCGTGCAGTTGTTAAGGCGAAAAGACAACCTCCACAATATGCAAGTGTAGTAGGTGTTGGAATACCAAGGGATTTGTGGAAAATGATTGGTGATTGTTTACAGTTTAAGGCACCTAAAAGACCGACTTTTAGTGCTATGCTTGCAATATTTCTTAGGCATTTACAAGAAATACCTCGTGGGCCTCCTGCAAGCCCAGATAGGTAAGGGCTTGTTTCTTTTTTACTTAATCTGGACATAATGAGTTAATGGGCTGTTTGATATGCCTCTTATTGGGTCTAACTTGGTCAAATTTAGACTGTTTGATACCACAATTAGAAGCCTCTGATTAATAAGAGGTTGGGTCTGACTCAATCAGATCTTGACTTACACAGACTCAATTAAGTGATTAACAACTATCAAACAAGACAATAAACCTGGCTTATTGTATTAAGACACCAACCCTTTATTACTTATTTGTCCTTTTTTTCCCACCCAACTTCCTTCATGTTAGAATTGATGTATATTATGAAAATTGTGTGTTGGAATGTGAGGGTATAAGGGTCATTGAGTCTCATTCAGACGGTTTATTCGGTCTAGAAAAGAAACGAACTTTATGTATACCATGTTTTATCCATGCATACATCATTACATATTCAGTCACTTTACCCATACATGACTCGATGGGGAAAAAAACAAAAACAACCCCCAAGTCTTGTAAAGTTTTCAAAAAGAAACAACACATCATATTTACAACATTTTCTCAAACTGCAGTGATGTAATTGTATACCCGAAAGCAAATGGGACGATGCCACCTGTCTCTCCAACCAACTTAGAAGTTGTCCATGATTATCGGACTCTTTTACATACAATGGTTTGTGAAGGGAATGTTTCTGGTGTGAGGTCAGCATCACTTTTCAATTATACATTTATCACATTCTTTCTTTCATTTTGTAATTCCTTATATTTTTGGAATACAGTGAGTTGCTATCAAAGGCTTCATCAAAAAACGATGGCAACACGTTTCGTTCTCTTCTAGAAGCTCAAAATGCAGAGGGCCAAACTGCCCTCCACCTGGCATGCAGACGTGGCAGTTCTGAACTTGTTGAGGCTATTTTAAATTATCGAGATGCCAATGTGGATGTACTTGATAAAGATGGGGACCCACCACTTGTGTTTGCTCTTGCAGCGGGGTCCCCAGAATGTGTGCGTGCTCTTCTTAGTAGATATGCTAATGTGAGGTCTAGATTGAGGGATGGATTTGGTCCTTCAATTGCTCATGTTTGTGCATATCATGGTCAACCAGATTGCATGCGTGTAAGTTTTTTGTAATTCTATGCAATAAACAGCAATGTACTTTCATTGGTTTGTTTATATGTAGATTTCTCAAAATGTTTAATGTTCTGATATTTTTTATAAAAAAAAAAAAAACTATAGGAATTGCTAGTGGCTGGAGCTGATCCAAATGCAGTTGATGATGAAGGTGAATCTGTATTGCATAGAGCAGTGACAAAAAAGTACACAGAGTGTGCTCTTGTTATATTGGAAAATGGGGGATGTAAATCCATGGGTATTTCAAACTCAAAGAATCTCACGTAAGTACAAATTTTATATTTTCTTATGTTTCTAGAAGCTAATTTCAATCAATTTTGAGTTATATGGGACTTAATCAGTTAATTGTATGATTCAATAGGCCTCTGCATTTATGTGTGACAACATGGAATGTAGCTGTTGTTAAAAGATGGATTGAAGTTGCATCATCTGAAGAAATTGCAGAAGCCATTGATGTACCTAGTCCTGTGGGGACCGCATTGAGTATGGCAGCTGCTTTGAAGAAAGACCATGAAGCTAGTAAGTTTTAAAAAAAATCTCGTATTCATGATTCATCTTAATCACTTTTTTATTGCTAATTATTACCCTAAATATATATATTTGTTTGATTTTGTTGCAGATGGTAGAGAACTTGTGCAGATTCTTCTTGCTGCTGGAGCTGATGCTACTGCTCAAGACACTCAACATGGACGTACAGCTCTGCATACTGCTGCTATGACTAATGATGTGGAGTTAGTTAAAGTAAGTTTATTTATTTATTTGTTTATTTATTCTTCCATCATTTTGCTCAAGTGTGGTGACATTTTCACTACAGAAAGACATGATTGAGTTGAATTGGGTCATTATTCATTAACTGGTGTTTTGTTTGAACAGATTATTCTTGATGCTGGAGTTGATGTGAACATAAGGAATGTGCAAAACACCATTCCTTTACATGTGGCATTGGCAAGAGGATCAAAATCATGTGTTGGAATGCTTCTTTCTGCAGGAGCAAATTGTAATTTGCAGGTTCCTAATCATTTCCCTCTATCAATTCTAAATTAGATATTAGTTTGTTATGAATTATTTTTTATGGCTCTAACAAGGGTGCTGCTTGTTTTCAACTTTTTTTTTTTTTTTTTCTTTTCAGGATGATGAAGGAAACAATGCTTTTCATATAGCTGCTGATACAGCAAAGATGATACGTGAAAATCTGGAGTGGATCATTGTTATGCTTAAATATCCAGGGGCTGCTGTAGAAGTCAGGAATCACAGGTACTTCCATTGATTTGTTTATTGTTTCATCCTACTTTCATTTCTTTCTATGACACCAATGTACTTTCAAAAATTTACACACTTATAGCAAAATATCATCCAAATATATAATAATTTTCATTTAGCTCTTATATCTATCTATGTATTTGTGATGGATGTCAGTGGTATGACACTACGTGACTTCTTGGAGGCCCTTCCTCGGGAATGGATTTCAGAGGATTTGATGGAGGCACTTGCAAACAAAGGAGTTCATTTATTTCCAACAATGTCAGTATCTTTCTTTCATTTTCTAATATACATCTTTTCTATCTGCATTTCAAAAAAAGACTTGATTTTTTTTTCTTTCAAATAGATACCAAGTAGGGGACTGGGTGAAATTCAAAAGTACAGTAGCCACACCAACATACGGGTGGCAAGGTGCAACACACAAAAGTGTTGGTTTTGTTCAAAGTGTCCCAGATAAAGACAATCTTTTTGTCTCATTCTGTTCTGGTGAAGCCCGTGTACTTGCCAATGAAGTTATGAAAGTCATCCCATTGGACAGAGGCCAACATGTCCAACTCAAACCAGATGTCAGAGAACCAAGGTACGATTACACAGGACAAAAGTTGGAATCTTTTGTCCTACCCAAAAAGTAATTCTTATAGTTAATACATAATTTACAAAAAAAAAAATAAAAAAAATGATAATCTTGACAGATTTGGTTGGCGTGGGCAATCGAGAGAGAGTATTGGAACTGTTCTTTGTGTTGATGATGATGGGATTTTGCGGGTCGGGTTTCCTGGAGCATCCAGAGGATGGAAGGCCGACCCGGCAGAAATGGAGCGGGTTGAGGAATTTAAAGTTGGAGATTGGGTTCGGGTCCGACCCGCTCTTACAACAGCTAAGCATGGGTTAGGGTCGGTTACACCAGGAAGCATTGGTATTGTGTATTGTATTAGACCCGATAATAGTTTGTTGTTGGAACTCAGTTATCTTCCAAATCCATGGCATTGTGAACCCGAAGAAGTTGAACCCGTTGACCCATTCAGGGTATATAATAAAGATACATTTATTTATTGCTGTTATTTCTTGATATATAATTATACTAATTCAACTTATGTTATTATCAATGTCTACAGATTGGTGATCGTGTATGTGTGAAGAGGTCAGTTGCAGAGCCTAGGTATGCTTGGGGTGGTGAAACACATCACAGTGTTGGAAGAATTATTGAGATAGAGAGTGATGGTCTCCTGATAATTGAAATTCCAAATAGGCCCATACCATGGCAAGCTGATCCTTCTGACATGGAAAAAGTCGAGGACTTTAAGGTAAATTAACAAACATCTTTCGGGTATTTTATTTTCTTTAACAATTATGACTTATGAGCGAATTATGTGACATGACATATTTTATCTGACATGACATGGCAGGTTGGAGATTGGGTGAGAGTTAAGGCTTCAGTGTCCTCACCTAAATACGGGTGGGAGGACATAACCAGGAACAGTATCGGCTTAATCCACAGTTTAGAAGAAGATGGTGACATGGGAATCGCCTTTTGCTTCAGAAGCAAACCCTTTTCATGTTCAGTGACAGATGTCGAAAAAGTAGCACCTTTCGAATTAGGTCAAGAAATTCATATAATTTCTTCGGTCAACCAACCACGCCTCGGATGGTCAAACGAAAGCCCCGCCACCGTGGGTAAAATCGTCCGAATCGACATGGATGGAGCTTTAAATGTATGTCAACAACTTAACTCCTTTTTTTGTCTCCATTAACTCATTCACAAACCATTTCCATATCTTTTTTTCAGGCTAAAGTGGCTGGAAGACACGGGTTATGGAAAGTATCTCCCGGAGATGCGGAAGTCCTTTCGGGATTTGAAGTAGGCGATTGGGTTCGATCAAAACCGAGTGTAGGAACTCGACCTAGTTACGATTGGTATAGCATTGGAAAAGAAAGTTTAGCAGTTGTTCATAGTGTACAAGACACGGGTTATCTAGAATTAGCTTGTTGTTTCCGTAAAGGCAAATGGATGACTCACCACACGGACATCGAAAAAGTCCTCGGGTTCAAAATCGGGCAGCATGTGAGATTCCGGGCAGGGCTAGAAGAACCGCGTTGGGGTTGGCGAGGTGCGCAGCCCAACTCCCGCGGCGTTATCATCAACGTGAACGCGGATGGCGAAGTACGCGTCGCGTTTTCCGGGCTGCCCGGATTGTGGAGAGGCGACCCGGCGGATTTGGAAATAGAAAAAACTTTTGAAGTTGGAGAGTGGGTTCAAATGAGTGAAACCGCAAGTGTTTGGAAATCAATCGGGCCGGGTAGTATCGGGATTGTACAAGGGATCGTATACGAATCGGATGAATGGGCCGGGAATATTTCGGTAGGGTTTTGCGGGGAGCAAGACCAATGGGTCGGCCCGTGTACGGATCTCGAACGGGTCGAGAAGCTCACGAACGGGCAACGGGTTCGGGTGAAACCGTCGGTGAAACAACCGCGGTTCGGGTGGTCGGGTCATACGCATTCCAGCATCGGGGTGATTTCTGGTATTGATTCGGATGGGAAGCTAAGGATGTATACCCCCGCGGGTTCAAAGTCATGGATGCTTGACCCGTTTGAAGTGGAAGTGGTTGAAGAAGAGGAGCTCCATATCGGGGACTGGGTCCGGGTCAAACCGTCTGTGACCTCCCCGGTTCACCATTGGGGGGAGGTGACTCATTCCAGCATCGGGGTGGTGCACCGGATGGAGGAGGGTGATGTTTGGGTGGCGTTTTGTTTCTTGGAGCGGTTGTGGTTGTGTAAGGCGGGGGAAGTGGAGAGGATCCGGCGGTTCGTGGTGGGGGACAGGGTGCGGATCAAGAAGGGTTTGGTTAGCCCGCGGTGGGGGTGGGGGATGGAGACGCATGCGAGTAGAGGTCAGGTGGTGGGGGTGGATGCGAATGGGAAGTTAAGGATTAAGTTTCAATGGCGGGAAGGGAAGCCGTGGATTGGTGATCCGGCTGATATCGAACTTGATGATTGTGAAAATGGGTTGCCAGCTGGCCGGATTTTGTAGGTGTCAGGTGGTGGTTTAAAAAAAATATATATATAATATGAGATCGATTTAGAAAATGGGTGGTGATGACGGTGGTAAGGGTATTTAGGTAAATAGTCTCTATATATATATATATATATATATATATATTATATGATGATTGCTGTTTATTTAATTCTACTATACAGAGAGAGGCGTACGTAACATAACTGATAAAACACCATTTGATATTTGTTTTTCTTGTTTGTAGACGTTAGACATGGTGTGGGTTTTTGTTTCATGTATCTATCTTTAACTCATATTATGCCTTCCTTGTTCATATTATTATTCTTATACACTGGCACTCTTGTTTCTTCTTTTTTAATTAAATCGCTGCTTTCTTCTAAATTTTAACGACAGTGGTCTGATAGAGGTCTAAAAAACATCATACAAACTAGAAATCATCTTTTATCTTTCTTCTTTTCAAGGAAACACAAAATATAGGCAAAATTGTAAAAATGATACTTATGCGGTTTTGGTGCAAAAAAGTTTGATGGTGCATTAATGGTCTAATTTTGGATACTTTATGCAGTTTGGTCCTTATGGTTATTTTTGTGTAGTTTTGATTTATGTCCAATCTAAAATGATAAATATGCTATTAAATAATTTTTTTCTTATTATTTTCATTAAAAAATAAAAAGAAAACATCTCTCTCTCTCTCAAACCCACCATTGAACTACCATCTCACCAATCGAAATCCAACACCAACGCGGCCGTCCACTATCTTCACATGTCATCATCATCTTCATCGGATAACACAAACAAGTAATGAAGGATAGATTGATTTCCCCTAAAGCAGAATCTAAGGCTTAGGAATAACAGGTACTCGAAAGTGATGGACTGAAAGTCGAGTTTGGAGGCAACGATGATGGTCGTAGGAAATGTTAACTTGATTGACGGTTCTTTGGTTTAGGATTTGTAAACCCTGGCTTCATCGATGATGCCCCAAAACTTAATCGAAACGTTGTTGAATGATGAAGGAAGGAGTTGGTGACATATTAGATGACGACTTTGGTGGTGGTTTTCAGTGAGATTTGCGGCTGTCGGCTGTTTTCGGTGAGAATGGAGGTTGTGGCAAACGAAATCTATGGCAGAGGTGGTGAGGATCAATTAGATGAGGGATAGAAGAGGGTGACAAGCAATTTTGGCACTGGTTTCCAGCAAGATATGTGGTTCCGGACGATTGTTTCGGACAGAGGGTGGAGTTGATTGTTCCTGATAAAGATGGAAATAGGGGTTATTTTTTATTTATTTGTTTGTTTCATGTTGAAAAAGGAAAAAGTTAATTATAAAGGGTATAAGCATCACTTTAAGTATAAAGGGACCAAAACCAATAAAAAGATCTAGTTTTTTACCATTGGTGCGCCACCAAAACTTTTTGGACCAAAACCGCAAAATATTGTCAACCACAGGGACCAATTTTACAATTTTGTCCAAAATATATTATTTAGTGGAGCTCGAGTATTGAAATACTCGGCTTGTGAAGCTCTTTACGAGCTGAATTCGATTATATTTATACTTTTACCCTTTATTACATAATCGAGCAAAGTAGAACTCACGATCTTAATCATATTTCTATTTCAATTTAACATAAGTTTATATTTTTAATAATTAGTCGAGTCGTGTTAATGAAAGTGTCGATTATTTTATTGAGCTTGAGTCCGAGCTTGAAATTGAGGCTTGACTCGAATTTCAAACTTTATAGTTCCCGACTCAACTTGATTACACCCCTACACGGAAATGGGATGATGCTTGTTGCAAAAAGAAAGAAACTTTGTTGATCTTTTATCTTTATTCTTCAAGAAACAAGCCCAAACTTTGTTGGTCTTTTATTTTTTTTTTTATTTTTTTGACAAAACCATGTCATTAAAAAAGTAATGATTTATATTACAATATTTTCAATCATCTTTAGAAATCATGACTTTTTTAATGACATGGTTTTGTAAAAAAAAAAGATTTTTGTGTTAGCATGATGTTGTATGTAGGGATGAGCTATAGCAAAAATAGGTTGAACTGGTTCCAAGATTTCATCTACTATTCCTATGGATGAGCTATAGCAAAAATAGGTTGAACTGGTTCCAAGATTTCATCTACTATTCCTATGGCATTAATCTGCATGATTTGGCACAACATCCATTAGTATTATATCATGGATAAATATGATATTTGAAATGTTTGTTTTGCATATATAGGGCAAATGCCATATTAGCCCATCAAACTTATCGAGTTTATTTTAAAAGGCCACTTAACTATTTTTTTGCACATTAAGGAAACTAACTCTCATATGACCGTTTAATTACGTCATTTTACCGATTGTAGAAGGTTTAAAGCATATTTTGGTGAAGTGTCCTCCACAGTGGACTAGTACCGTTGCAATCTTGGTCCCAAGATTACCAAGTCATCTTCAATGGTCCCCCTTATAAATTGAATGGATACCCTAAATTCGTGTTCCCCCCACTTTGTTACCCTAATCTGTAACCTTTGCTTAATACAATCAATTTCGATCTTTTCCCCCTTATAAATCAAGAAGATGGCCTCAGAACAATGCTTCTCCTATGGTGGTTTCAGAGTATCGGACCTAGACATACCACTGCGAGCTTCACGCCATGGAAACCCAAGTGCAGATTGATGAAATGAGAGATGACACGCGATAATAGCTAGGCGAGTTTAGGGAGGAAATACGGTACTTGAAAAATATCGTGACTGGATTTCCATCAAAAATGAAGATTGATGCTCCTAATCCGGTCATTGAAATTAGTTTCATCAAAAATGACCCTCTCACAAAGGTTCATGAGAGAGAAGGATCCGGTATGGTTTGAGCCTGAAGCATTGTTGGAAGACATCTGAAAATGAAGAAAGACAAGTTTATATTAGATAAAGAGTCCTTAATAAGACACCCAAATGTAATATTAGGGCTAGGACCCAACACAATATTTTATAACTTAGAAGAGGGATGTCGTAATCCAAGCTATAAAATATTTGAAGGTAGGTGAATGATGATTCACCAATTTCCACCATGAAAAACGAAATGTAAATTAGGTTTTAAATGAATTGAAATTCCTAGATTCTTTTGAGATTCATTGAACTTTTTAATGACATGTTTAAATCTCGATTGTGCCCTTCAAGTTTGTGACTGAGATGCTGAGGATCACAAAGCAAGGTGTGAATAACCATGCAAATTAACTTGGTACACTTAATTTTATCACATAATCGATGTGCCAGTTAACCACACACGCTCCACCAATCTATGATAAACATTAAGCTACCATTTGCCACTCTTACCAGTCTATGTTAGTGTCAGTTAACCACACTCGCTCCACTAACGACTTGGTAAGGTACAAAGTGTAATTTCATGGGTTAGCACTAAATTCACATTTTCCTTAAAAATAACTAAGATTGGGAATTTATAAAACATTTAGTTACTTTATAGTAATCATTATACTTAATGAGAATTAGTGTCCTATCCTACTTGTTCAGCTAACGACCCTCCACCAGTATAGGAAGCGGTGGGTGAGAGTGGACACTCATTAAGCTGTCATTTTATAGGCAACAACCAAATACCCCACTTATAGACCGACTTCATGAATGAGGCCTACTAATGGTAAGACTGACTTATCTTATATATATGTGTATTAAACTTTTAATATTAAAATAGTATAAGGGTTGAATTTTAAACTTTTAAAATTGTAGGGATTGGAATTAAAGTGGTCTATGTTAGTGTCGGTTAACCACACACGCTCCACTAACGACTTGGTAAGGTACAAAGTGTAATTTCATGGGTTAGCATCAAATTCACATTTTTCCTTAAAAATAACTAAGATTGTGAATTTATAAAACATTTAGTTACTTTATAGTAATCATTATACTTAATGAGATTTAGTGTCCTATCCTACCCGTTCGGCTAACGACCCTCCACCAGTCAAGGAAGCGGTGGGTGAGAGTGGACACCCATTAAGCTATCATTTTATAGGCAACAACCTTATACCCCACTTATAGATCGACTTCATGAATGAGGCCTACTAACGGTAAGACTAACTTATCTTTATATATATATATATATATATATATATATATATATATATATATATATATGTGTGTGTGTGTGTGTGTGTGTGTGTTTATTAAACTTTTAATATTAAAATAGTATAAAGGTTGAATTTTAAACTTTTAAAATTCTAGGGATTGGAATTAAAGTATGAGTGTGTGAGACTTTACAAATTCCAAAACTTGAGAGCAAGTTTTGAAACTCTTCAAAACTTTTCAACTTCAAAACATGTGAGTTTAATGGCCTATTAAAATAAAGACTCTTCATTTATATAACCTATGAGTTCTTAAATACTCTTTTAAAGAAAATGACTTTCGGTAATCCATAACTTGAGGATAAATTATGGACTCCATTAAAACACATAGATCATGGATTCAATTAATCAAATAAGCATGCATGATCATATTCAAACTCATAGAACAAGATAATTCATATCATCAATATTCAAGATATTAGCATAATCATATTAATACAATTCTTGAAATTATGACAATCACCTTGTAATTAGATTAAGATAATCATTACCATATTATAAAAAAACAGTTTAAATGATTCAAAACAGTTATAGGTAATGATCCTAACCCAATTCAGGCCAAAACTCGAACATCATGTTGTTTGGTCATCAGACTCGTCGAGTGCAAGCCTTGACTCGTCGAGTCCATGACTAAAACCATTAACTCGTTGAGTCTGACTCGGCGAGTTGAGCAATCATACATCAATTCCAGCTTTGCAAAATCACAAATAAGCAACAATATAATAGAAAACCAGCCTAGGCTCTGATACCACTGGAGGGTTTTGAGCATCCTAACAACCGTAAGGTGTACATACAACCCTAAATGCTTTGGAACTATGTTTTCTCTATTATACATGCAAAATTGATTTCCAAAGCATTGTCCTATCTAGCATTCAATTGTAGGTTCTTATACAATAAAACTAGATGGAAACACATACCTTTTCTTGTAGTTGATTGGTTGGAGCTACGAGCCTAACACCAATAATGTGAATGCCTCAAGTGGAATCACAAATCACCACAACAATTTGGAAGTTCTTGAGAGAGTATACTAAG